TCAGAATCTTAAGTCCTGCCACAAGAGTCTAAAATCTTGAAAACATTGTTTTCACAGATTCATCGTCTTCTATCTTAAAGGCTTTATACTTTTTAATTAAGGCCAGAGTCTTTGTTTCTTTTACCTGTGTGTTACCTTCATGTGTCATCTGAAGAGAATCAAAAATAGACTTTGTAGTCTCTCTATCTGTGATTTTCTCATATTCATTATATGATATAACACTTAGAAGAATGGTTCTTCCTTTGTAGTGATTTTTGCATACTTTCTTTTGTACTTCAGTCATTGCATTTCTTGAAATCTTATGACCTTTATCATCTACTGGGTGAGTGTAGCCATCAACTACCAAGTCCCATAGATCCAAGTCATATGCTAGAAAGTAACTTTCTATTCTATCCTTCCAATAGTTAAATTTCTCTTCATCAAACATAGGAAGTTTTGAACTATAGTGATCTCTATCATTATCCCTATTAACAATAGTGGAAGTAGATGTAGCCATTGGTTTTTCACACACACTGGATCGGTATTGGACACTGTTAAGTGTTGATAAAAATTCAAACTTTTTATCCTCTCAGAATCGGAGCTCTGTTACCAATTAAAGGTGTGAAAAATACAAGAAATGGGAGCTTGAATTGGGTTTTTAAAACAAAACGATTATTTTAAAAATATTCCCCTTTTAAGTTAAAATGTTTTTTCCTTCACTCTTGATAATAACAATAAGTAAGAACAGGAAGTAAAGAACAATTTATGTTTATACTAGTTCACTTGAAAATTATCAAGCTAGTCTAGTCCACCCGCCAATATGATTTCGCCTCACTCAATCGAGGACTTAATTCACTATAACCAAACTGATTACATTTTTCACAAGCTACCCGCAAGTGACTAACAACCTCTAGACTTGCAAGCCCTAGACTTCTTAAGGATTCAGATCTACTCGGTCCCTTAAAGAATATCAACTAATAATCAACCTGATTATTACAATGCACAAGCTACCCGTAAGTGACTAACAACTTCTAAAACTCGCAAGCTCTAGACTTCTTAAGGATTCAGACCTACCCGGTCTCTTAAGGAATATCAAACAACAATTTGAATACAAGTTTTATTTACAAGAATGTTACTTCTAAAAAGCTGAGTATGTAAACTATTTTACGAACAATGACTTAAGAATATGAAAGCAATGGACAACGTTTGAGCGTGAATATTTCATTAGTTGGCTTATTTTTTTCTTAGTCTTCAAGCCTTTATATATAACAATTAGAATAATGTATCCGTTGAGGGATACTCTTGGAATTTCCAGAAATATTGGTAGCTTGAATGGTAACGTGAGGGACAAGATCGTGCGACGCATCCGTCATTTCATGGTAGTGGAATAAAATATTGATTGTACCATGTACTATTTGTACCACGTTAACATTATCTTCTTTCCTTCTGCACTTCAGAGGCTTCTGCGAGCATGAGTTTAGAAGTGAGAACATAACATCAGGTTTTTAGAACTTCAAGTCTTTAGAGTCTTCAGAACTGTGTCTTCAGAGTCTTCATCACTTGGTCGTGAAAACCTTTTCTTGGAACCTTAGGTCTTTAGAACTTTAAGTCTTTAGAGTCTTTAGACCTTCTGTCTTTTAGAGTCTTCAACAGTTGGTCTTCATAACCCTTATCTTTAAAACTTCATTAATATAAACACAAGCTTTTAGCATCTGGAATTCAGTAGAAACTTTGTCTTCAGATCTTTTAACTTTGTTTCTTTGGAACATGTTGTCTTTAGAAGCTTGAGTCTTCAGCATCTGGACATAAGTAACAACTTTTGTCTTCAAATTTTTTGACTAGTTTCTTCAGACAAATATCAGAGTTTACACTTCAGAGCCTTCTGGAGTGTCTTGCTATTGTTCAACAGAACTTGTGTAGCATAGAAGCGTAATCAATTCTCTTCTAATGTCTTGGCCACACCATTCATCAGAAGCAGAACATGTTTGTTAAGTACTCAACAATAACAAACATTAGTATAACAAAATTGTTCATACAATCATATTCATTTGTTATCATCAAAGTTCAGAGATAATATTGCAGAATCAAATCTTGTTCTTACAATAATTCCTCTTCAAATGGAGCTGGGTGGAAAAGATACTTGCATTGTTCTTGAAGACGCTGACTTGAATTTGGTAGTTGCTTCCATATGCTATATTCATTTCGTGTTTTGGGCACACAATTTTTTACCTAAAGTTTTAGTTTTTACTTTCTGAAATATTAATTTGAAGTAGTATTTAATCGATTAATTAGTTTAGTTAATTTGTTGATGTTAATATTGGTAACATGAATAAACACAATTTGGTAGTATTAGTGTATTTATGTTACCAATTTGGTTTTCTATGATTTGCTTAAGAGATTTACGTATGGCCATTTGGCTCAATTGAAGTTTATCTTACCAGAGGCAATTGCTATTAAGAATATATTAGTGTTTGACGCAAGAACAAGTTGTATGAAGTCAGATCTTCATGTTACTATAAATCCTGATGCAGTGGAGTTTGATTATGTCCATGCAATAGCAGAAAATTTGGTAGAATTTACTTACGTTATTATAATAAATGCAGGGTTGGACGAACTACATATCGTTTTAATTATGTCTATGCAATAACAGAAAATTTGTTGATTGCTCTAACCAATTTGTTGTTCTCTTCTGCTGTGGTTGGTTCGGATAATTCGACAGTCTTTGAATATTGGGGTTCTCTACTCTTTCATCAGATAGTTAAGGTTTGTGTTCCAAGTGCAGAGATTTGTGCCAGAAATTACTACACCATAATCTATGTATATTTTGATTTTCTAATAGATTGATATTTGAGACATGAATGAAATGTAAAAGTTTGTTTTGCTCCGATAGTAACCTATTTTCCATTGATGTTAGGCTTTTAGATAACTTGAGTCATCCTCTTGCTAACCATGCTAACGAGAATAACGAAACAAGAAGATATAGCATGAAGAAAATTTTTATTTGATATTAAGATGTGAAAAAAATGTCATTTATGATAATTATTTTAGTTACTGAAACAATAACCTGTTATGATTACATTATCATTTTTTGTGCGTGGTAGTGTTTTTTGTTATTAAGTGCACTTTAAATGTTTGATAATATGCTTGCACCATTATTATGCCCTTTTTAAGCTGGATTTGTGTTTCATTGTTATGGGTCTTTAGTTGAAATATAAATCATGTTTAAGTTATTGAGTCATCAACTTGACTTTAGAGTTAGAAAGCTGGTCTTAAGTGCTTTGATTTTAGAGTGAGATTTTGCTTAAAATTACATGTGAAATGGAAATTGGTGGTAACATTACTGCACTATAAAGTACCTAACACCTCTTAAAAAATGTGAGTGAAATATTTGACACTCACACTGCAGTTTACTTGATTTTCCAATTTATTGTACGTTATGAATACTAATTTGTCAGTTTACTTGATTTAATAAACTATGTCAGCTAATTCAAATTTGATAATATTTTTGGTGGCTAACAAGGTTTATGTGGAAGTCCAGAGAAAAGTTGGAAATGAGGTATTATTTCCAATAAATTGAAGTCTAAACATTATAGTTTGCTTATTTATAACTTCATAGGTTTCTCTATTCAGGTGCATAAACGACTCCCCTGTAGACACCAAAGAATTTATTCTGATTTCATTATATCTGATGGTTACATGAGGGTGAGAAATATGCCAAAGAAAATGACATGTGTTTCTTTGAAACATTAGCAAAAATAACACAGAATGTTAATGATTAGAAGCTTAATCTACTCAGAAATCGTTGTCTTCGCTGTTATGTTTAATTGACTTATATTTAAGCAAGCATTAATTGACTTGTTATCTTTTAAAGGTTAATTGTTGAATACAAGGTTAAAGAGAAATAAATTTTAAAAATATTTTATATTAATTTATTATGATATGTTTAACTATTATCATTCCAAATAAATGAATTTAAATTTGACAAATCATTATAAATTTGTAACTAGAAGTCACAATTTTTTACCAAACACTATGTAATATTTTTATAATTTGGAATAACTTCAAAATATTTTTATAAACAAGAAAAATTATTGTTGATATAATTATTTTTGTAAACAGAAATAAATTACAGATGTTATTTTTAATTCAAAAAATCAACTATGAATAAAGTGTAATGTATGTGTATGTCAAAACGGGTAGACGTGAACGTAACTATAAAATGTCAATTGTAGACAGTCCATTTTAATGTTCATCTTTATTTTTTTATGTTGTTTATATAATTAAAGTTAGAGAATCGATTGTACGAATTATTATAATTACGAATCAATATTTAAAAATTAGTGCATATTATTAAGCTATATTTATAACTATTTGAATGTCAATCAATTGAATAATGAATTAATACTTTATAAATAATAGTCTAATAGACATATAATGTGAATCTAGACGGGATCGTGCAGATTTCTTACTAGTATTTATTAATAACTTTGCAACCACACACAACGCATGTATGGAACCCAGGAAAATAATACCTGCACCAACATGTGCCCAGCAACAACCAAAAATAAAAGACAATAGAAAACATGTCCCAAGGCCAGCATACCACAAAAACAAAGAAATTAAGAAATTATAACACTAAAGTACATAAGGAACAAGACTACAGGAAACTAACAGATCAAAGTCTCGCGCTAAATTGGCTTGCGGCACACCCCAGTCTTTACCTACAACACTAACCTCCACCTACAAGGAAGCACCACTTAACCCACCACAATAAAAATGCACCACAACACAGCTTTAATAGAACATGGAAGCAGATAAAGAAGACCTGGCACTGTCCACACTTCAACCGCCCCCATACTGAACCGACATCTACTACCAACGGCCCGGAAAAAATGCAAATGAAGCCAACTAGCCAAGCTAGTCAAAGGATCGCAATTCCACTCACAAATAAAGAGACAGAGTGTTAGTTAGCTATAATTTTTACTTTGTTCACCACCTCCTTTGCGGCCTCCACCGTAATGTTAAACAAATGACCATTCCATGACTTCCATATCAACCACAAAACAGCAAGCCAAATAAGCTTCAATCCACTCTTGACTTTCTTGCCTCTCCCTATTTCTAACCACTGCCAGTTCAGTATATTTTACAGAGAAAAAAAAAAGTGTTCTGAGATAAAGAATACATAAACAGCAATCTCGGCGTAAACTTGAAAGAAAATAAAGGTTTAAACCTAAATAGTAATGTGTGTTTCTCTTCTTATCAGTAACAGTTTTAGATTCAGGGCCCAGTGTTATCGATGGCGGATGGCAGTTCATGACAGGGAGCCAAAATCCCACCATACCATCTGCTTTGTGGCACCGTTATAGCGGATTATGACAGAAAAACCGCAATATCAGCCGATATTTACCATTGCGGCGAGCCCAAAAATTGCCATGTATATCCGCCATAGCGGCCATGGCACCGCTATTGATAACATTGCCAGTGCCCACGGAATATTATAAATCCATAAATTACTAGAAAAACAGACTGACCAATAAACTCCAGCGCAGATAAATCGCCATTCTAGATATAATTCATTGAAGTACATCCTTCTTTAGAAATTAAAAGAGCAATCAATTTGAAATAAGGAATGATATTTCATCATTCAGAAAACATCTATAGTTATTCATTTATCATGTTCACAGATTTTTTTATTTTGGACCACTGGGTAAAACTTCTTCCAAAGGGAATTGAAGGCTGTACCTTGTTTACACTCTCTTCTATTGTAATCTTTAACCAAATCAATTAGCATCACTGTGGGTTACGATGGCCTCAACTCTATCAAGTGATGCTTGTAGACGCCCTGACTGCATGTTTAACATTGGCTCGCCGGTACCTAGACCCCTGTTTAAATATTAAGTTAGCCAATCATTTATGAAATAATTGCACAACAGAAAACAAATACAGCATGTATCACACGCGCATTGAAAAATCACCTTGAAAAAGAATAGCTCAACAAAAACCAATTATCTTAAGCCCATACTCCCTCCAGTCTTGATTATAAGAAAAAGTAGCCACACACTTATTAAGAATTTAGTTAAGTGCAATTCACTTTTTTGATCTTAATAAAAAATACGAGTGTTCTCAAAAGTATCCTTCATAGGAACTTGTTCCATGTAAATAAAGAAGCCATTGGAAAATAAAATTTTATAAATGAGGGGGGTTTTATGAATGCCATTATAAATAGAGTAAAAGTAAATAAACTTGCTTATATTTGAGACCGCCAAATAAAAAAAAAATTGCTTTTATTCAAGAATGGATAGAGTACTTTCTTAGAAGTGATGAAAAGGAAATTCAAAACTTGCCCTGTAAGCTCGGGGAGAACATATTCTGCTCTCCATCCAAACCGTAAATCAAATCCGGGGAACAAACCAACCGATGTCTTGTTTCGGATTCGGGATACATTATCTCCACCCAAACATGTGGTGAGCTTCCATTTCCAACCAGTGGCGTGCATTTTAAAACTGTGTCCTACACCAACCTGTGCTGATTACGTCAGTGTGAATCTCTTCAAATGAAATTTAACATAAAGTGGGAGATCAACTTATCATGAGTCATGACAACAACAACAAACAACACTGTGAAATTAATACATACAGGCACCTAACAAAAGCCTCATTCATTACTATTTTTATACATTTTAGCAAGGATCAATATAAACATCATATCCATGTCATGATTAAAAAAAACAAAAGAATCAAACACTGTCAAACCTGAAGATTCAGAAATTTGGTAATTGGGATCTTTTTTGAGAGAATGCGAACATCATGCTGAATGGGCTCATAAATGAACTTCCATTTCCATTCAGGTGTCAAAGGCTTAAATACAAGCTTTGCCTGACATTCATTGATAGGAGCATTATAGATCTGCACACACACAGACACAAAATTGACCTCCTGTCAGTAATAGTCACCATATCAGAACAATTGATAAGGAAACAACCCCTACAACATAAACCTATTAACAGAAGAGATCCAACAATATAAAAAAGTTAAACTTCACATAGAAGCACTCCTATTAATTTAGATTTCTCTTTGAATCTTCTTGTATCCAAGGAACAAGTGAGTTTAACCACGAAGACAGGAAAACAAGACAATATCTAACCATTTGACTGTAGTGCAATTAGAAACAAAGAATAATCTAGTTTATGCACCACGAATGATGAACTAATGAACCATCAGTATTTACTCCTTCGTTCCTTTTTAACTATCACCTTTGTGAAAGAATTCTGTTTCTATTTATTTGTCGTTCAATGTAACATTAACTATTATTTTATCAAAAACACCCTTAACTATTTATTACAGAGAAAAAATGTTGGAATGAGATATTAAATAGTTAATAGAAAAAACAAGAAAAATAATTTCGTTTAAGTATCAAAAATTTCTTTATTTTCTTGGTATACAACAACAACCAAGCCTTATCCCACTAAGTGGGGTCGACTACATGAGTCAACATTCGCCATAATGTTCTATCTAGGACCATGCTTCTATTCTAATTTGTTAATCTCGAAATATTTCTTAATAATTTCTCTTATAGTTTTTCTAGGTCTACCTCTACCTCTAGTTGTTTGACTTATCTCCATTTGATCTAACTCTCCTTACCACAATCTACATGTCCTCTCTCTACATACCCAAACCGCCTAAATTTATTTTCCACCATCTTATCTATAGGTGTTACCCCAACACTTTCTCTAATATTATCATTTCTAATCTTATCCTCTCTAGTCTTACCACACATTCAACGCAACATCCTCATCTATGCTACATTAACTCTACTCTCATGTTGATTATTAACCACCCAACATTTTGTTCTATACAACATCGCAGGTCTTACTGCAGCCCAATAAAATAATTTTAAAACAACTAAAAGGACTCTAATACCACATTAAAAAGTTTCATATCATAAGCAGTCAGAGGGCAGTAACTGAAGTATGTGTATTCTTACCGTTCCTATGACAGATTCTGGATAATAATTTTGAAAGAAAATAAATTCCACTAGTGCAAACTGTCCTTAATGATTGTACCAATGAGTTATCTAGCCAGTGAGTAAGAAGAAGAAAAAAAGAGTACATATGAAGACCAACCCCGGCAAATCTTCAGGATATTCAAGAAACTTGCTTCTCCCAACAAATTAAACCGCTCAGCCAAATTATGGTACTGTTAAATTACAGCTATAGCAGCTCTATAACGCAATAGCATAGCAGAATTTGAACAAATCACTATTCAATGTATGCGGTTCAGTACAAAATATCATCAAATAACACTTACAGCGGTACGGCGCACTATCAAACCGCTATTTCTGCAATCCCTTATTGCGAACACTACAACAAGATTAAGGGTTTTGATGACAATAGACTGATTTACACAGTAACAACCTCTACAGTCTTAAAACAACAACCCTAAATTCAAATCAATCAAACAAAGTAACTCTAATCACGGTCCAGATATGAAATTAACATACATGCAACCATTACAAAGAAGCGTAAACATGAATTCGAAAGCAGAAACGAAAAAAGAGCGAAAAGAAGAAAAACCTCCATATTGAGAGCAACACGAACACCTTGAACTTCTTTACGGAACTTGAGAAACAACTCTGAAGGCATCAAATTGATGTTGTATAACTCGTCCCAAGAGCTTGGCTCCTCCACGTTCGGTTCCGAATCCATTTTTCAAACTGAAATTTTTCTTATCCCTAAAATTAAAATCGAAAGTTGCAGAGAGGAGATGAAGGGGAAGAAAAGAGAGTTAAGCAATCTTCGCTAACGAGTAACGAGTCGCGGTGTTAGTGATACTCTTGAAGCCGCTCATAAATGTCCAAATTACTTACTTCTCTTTGGGGAATTTGTAACAGTTGGATGTATTTTAGCAACAATGAAGTAAAATTGTACATAAACAAGTGCGATGCACAGATAATTTTTATAAAATAATTATTTATAATTATTAAAATTTAAATATAGATTTAAAACATTTTATATAAATATTTTTGTTTAAAAAATATTTAAAATTAAAAATAAAAAATATTTTCATAATAATTAAAATAATACTCTCTCCGTAACGATTTATAAGTAAATTTGATTTTTTTAAATATATCTGGATATATTAATTATCAAATATACTAAAAAAGTTAAATTTATTTATAAATCGTTACGGAGAAAATAAAAGATATTCTCTCCATTTATTTTTAATTGTTATTTTTTAGAGAAAAAAAATTATTTTTTTTAAATGTCACGTTTCAAACTCCAAGATAATATTAGTTGTAGTTTTTGTGATTGCATGCACTCCAATCAAAGTGTTTTGGTGAAGATCACCATACATAAAGTCAAAAAATATCAAAATTATGGAAAAGAAGATATTCAAGATCATATAATATTTTAAAATCATTCTATGAAGTCTTCTACATGTAAACAACCAACTTTCAAGATGAAGATTTATGAAGATTCATCAACAAGTTAGATACAAGTTTTAATTTGAGGTTTTTAAGATGATATAGTGATCAAAATATACTTTAAACATTTTACATAAGTGTCATGATCATTTAAGAGTAAAACATTACATGTCCATCACTTAGAAAACATATTTTTATCACTTTCACTCAGTGGTAACCGGTTACAGGGTTACAGTAACCGGTTACTGGACTTCACAAAATTAAAATTAAAATTTTGGTTCAGTGGTAACCGGTTACAACTTTTTGGTAATCGGTTACAGACATGCAAATTTGAAAATATACACATTATCATACATGTGTAATCGGTTACAGCTCTACGGTAACCGGTTACCGCTGAAGAAAAATTCAAAAAAAATATGTTTTATATGGTTGTTGGATGATACCTCTTGGGTCCAACCATTACATCTTTTTACTCATTTAAGGTGTAATGAAAGAGTGCATTTCATATATAAAAATTCGCTTGCACTCAGATCATCACACAAGACATATTATTCAAAATTTAAAATTTCTTAAGTGTCGTAAAACTTTGAGAATTTACATATTGTATGAAACATTGTTTAGAACTTTCATACTCATCATTGTTTCAGCATATATTGAGCACTAGATCTGACTATAAACTTCCTATTAAATTTTGTCTTAGTATCTTAATAACCATTGTGTTATTCAAGAATAGATTATACTTTGTAAAAACCAGATTTTGTATAACATTAACCTTGCATTCCAGGATTGTTAGAGCAAGTGTGTGCATTGAAGATGATTGTTCTTCTTGCACTTAGTGTTGAAGATCTTAAAAGTTTTAAGAGTCTTTGATCTTCTTATATATTAGATAGTAAGGCATCACCTTTGGTGTGATTAG